TCCAACTCCTGGGCTCAGGTGAGTCTCCTGCCTCCACCTCCCAAGTAGCTGGGACCACAGGCGCCCGCCACAACGCCCGGCTATTTTTTCGTTGCAGCCGTCATTGTTGTTTGGCGGGCCAGGGCTGGATTCAAATCTGCCAGCTCAGGTGTACATGGCTGGTGTCTTAGCCACTTGAGCCAAGGCGCTGAGCCTTTACTGAAAAGACTTACTTCTTTGGGGAAACTTTCTATTTTTTTTTTTTTTCATTTGTTTCAACCCCATTTGTTGTTTCCAATGGAAACATTTTTATCATGGCTGCTTTAACATTCTCGTCAGATCATTCTAACATCTCTGTCATCTTGCTATGAGCATCTGTTGACTGTCTTTCTGAATTCCATTTTAGGTCTTCCTTGTTTGGAGTATAACACATGCTTTCTTATTAAAACTTGGATGTTTGGAGAATTTCGTTGTACGAGTCTGAATCTTACTTAACCTTTTTGGCCTAGTTTGGTTTTATTTGTCACTGTTCCAGTAAGAGAAGGAGGGCTGCCATCTTACCACTGCCACACGTCTCCAGTTTCACAAAGACCAGTGGAGACTCAGCCACCACTCAGACCTGAGGGGCCAGGGCTCCTCTTTATTGGGTGAGAGTTCTGATTCTCCAATAACCTTCCACTGACATCTTCCTAGCAGTGAGAAAAAGGGGAGTGAAAGTCTTGCTTGTTGACCTTCTCTGAGTTAACCCTCATCAGAGCTGGATTCCTTGGTATAGTTTCTTGAGCGTGGAGAGCTAAGCTCCCACTTGGCTTACCATGCTATAATTAAGGGTCATGGATTTTTCTGAGATGTTGAACTGAAGTAGAACTATCTTTGTCTAAACGATTTCTTTCTTGCTAGGTTGGCCCTTTCCTGATCCTTAAGCAGAGAGAACAGATTTTTTTTCTTAGTTTTTGCCTTGCTGTTAGTGTTTCCAGACTGCTGGCTTCTCTACCTGGCAGGCATCAGGCACACCATGCTGTTCACTGGGTAGCAAGGTCCCTGTCTGGTCTACACCCTCTCCACCTTTGAGAATCCCTTTATGTTTGTTTTTTAAGTACTTTGGTGGGGCTTAGTTGCACTTAGGGGGAAATGGGAAAAATTCCACCTACCCTCCCTTTTCAGAATGGGAGGTTCAGACTCGAAAGTTTGTTTATAAATAAACAGAACATTTTGATATTCAGTTTCTCTAATGTTTTACATTCTGCTGTTTTTCATTTCTTTATACATTTACAAATGATAGTAAGAGAGTTTTTTGACAAAAATATTTACAAGTAATAGAACCACTGTAGTTTCTCTCCTTTATTTATTAAGATTGCCTTGTATAATCTCAGCCTGGAGTCATTCTTTTTAGTTTCTGCATACAATTCAGAATGAGGACAGTACACATTTTAAGACTTTAAGATATACCATGAGTTTCTGTCTTCTTTATCATCTTCTCTTTTTCCAGTTTTTCTTTCAACAAATATTTGTTATGTGCCAGCAAGTCTATAAAGCACTGGGGATACAAAAAGGACCAAAATGTGTCTTTCCTTTCCTAGAGTTTATGGTCAAGTGGTAGATTTAGGCTCTTTTAGTGGAAAAAATATTGAAGAGCTGGGTTAATTTATTTTTCCCCACTGTTACTTAAATATGTGCATAACATAAACCGTGGTCCAACCTGCAAATGTTATAGA